GGTACGGGTTAGGGTTAGGATAGGAGCTGTGGGGGGGTAGAGGTACGGGTTAGGATTAGGATACACAGATCAGATTTTTTCCCGTACAATTAGGTCACTGTGCGTTAGTTAGCCCCTGAGCGCAGCTAAGCTAACAAGCTAGACGTCAGTTACATCCTAATTTTTTGCTCGTTTTTTTCCTCTTAAACGTAAGATAGGTTATGATAATGAGTGGGGGAGCTGGACCAAGTAAGAAGAAAAAAACATATCACTTTCATAATGGGAGGAGTCATCAGAGTGAACTCAGGTAATGGCACAAAATGTACATAATTAATTGTCCAACCAATCAGGTTTCCGCTATTATTTGTTGCCAGGGGGAAATAAATCTGTCTGGAAGCCTTCACAATCACTCTATCATAAATATGTATCAATTAAACTGTCCGACCAATCAGATTTCAGATATTATTTGTTGCCAGGGGGAAATAAATCTGTCTGGAAGCCTTCACAATATGTATCAATAATGTATAAAAATGATGTTGTTATGTTGTGTTGTGCAACATATGTGGTTATACGTCAACATAACATTGTAAGAATCCTCAATATATTTCTCAATAAATATAATGGATGGATCATTTTTACTTGGTCATTTCAAAAGTAGCTCCCATGCTGAAAAAGTGTGAGCACCCCTGTTGTACAGAGTGCTAGAAAGTTCCACCTTTACACTGATTTTACTCTGTTAATGAAACCAGGGACAGAGTCAGACTGAAAGAGCTGAATGACTCTGAGTTTATGCTTCTATTTTCAGAGAAATTGAAGTTTTAGCTCCTCCAGATGTTCCTCTTTGGCTTCCGGTCCAACATAGAAATTATTTCTCTGACTTCATCCAACAGGTTTCATACCTCCTCCCCCCATAATAGGGGCATCCTGTTCCAGTTATCGCTCTCAAACCAAACCGGTTCTGAGAATTCAAACCTCAAACATTCAAGAAACCCTGATTTCCATCAGGATTGTGCAATAACAGGCTGTGAGTGTGTGATCTGGCCTGATTTGAGGCCTCAACAGCGTCTAATAAACAGCAGTTAACCAGCAGTTTTGGCCTGATTTGGTCTGTTTACCCGCCCTAACAGGGTCTCTGCTGTAACATTTTAGTTTTTTTCTTACAGAAAAAACAGCCACTGATCATTTAACCAACAGCATTTTTCATTTTAGAGGTCATAAAATGATATTAATGCAGATCTTTGAACTGGGATGCACTTTTCTCTCTGTATGTGCTCTAAAATCTCACATCAGAGTCGACAAGAACAAAAAATGTCCTTCAAATTCTCACACCTCAAAGGCTCAAATCGCTTTAGTGTAAAAGACTAGATTCTGACCTAGTTTAGAAAACCAGAAGAATTAAACTAAATAGCTGTTCTGGGCTGGTTAAAACTGGTCTGAGCTGGTTATAGCTGGTCATAACTGGTTAAAACTGGTTATAACTAATCTGAACTGGTAACAGCTGGTCTGAGCTGGTTAAAACTGGTTATAACTGGTCTGAACTGGTAATAGCTGGTTAAAACGGGTTATAACTGGTCTGAACTGGTTATCGCTGGTCCGAGCTGGTTATCGTTGGTCTGAGCTGGTTATAGCTGGTCTCAGCTGGTTGAAACTGGTTAAGACTGGTTATAACTGGTCTTAACAGGTAATAGCTGGTCTGAGCTGGTTATAGCTGGTCTGAACTGGTTAAAACTGGTCTGAACTGGTAAGAGCTGGTCCGAGCTGGTTAAAACTGGTCTGGTTTAACTGGTTATAACTGGTCTGAGCTGGTTAAGACTGGTCTGAGCTGGTAATAGCTGGTGTGAGCTGGTTAAAACTGGTCTGAGCTGGGTATATTATAGTTTATTCCAATTATTTTGTTCTAATATATTCAAAGCTTAACTAATGCTAATGCTTAAACTCCAGTTTGTAGAAGCTCTGCAGCCCAAATGATGTTTAGCACTAAAACTGAATTACTATTATCAATCCCTTTTCTAAACGCCGCCCCCTGGTGGCGGTTCAGGGCTTACCTGAGCTGGTTAAAACT